CAAGAAACCCGCCCCGCCGCCACGCCGGCTCAAAAGCCCACGGCCGACCGCTCACAAAGGTCCGCAAGGGACGCCACACCATCCGTGGTGGTCCAGAAAAGCCCACAGCTCAGAGTAATCTATCTCCGGGCCGCCCAATCTGCTTCTCCCTTCTTTCCTCAGCTCGCCGTCAATGCCAATAATAGGTCGAGGATGATCCTACGTTTGGTCACTTGGTCGCGCATGAGTTGGCCGGTGCCAGCACATCCTCGTCGTCACCTCCTCCATACAGAACCGGGTCTTGCACACATCCACTGTGCCGAGCACCCCGCCAGAACAAGTCATTGGCTGTGACCCGTGCGCTTGATCGTCGTGTGCTGGCATCCGTCTAGGGGTGCTGTCAAAGCCTGACGAACAGCAACCTCCTCATCACTTGCATTGGGCATCGTGTGCGTCACCGATCTCTCCGACCTCAGCAAATGCTGTGCAGATGGCACTCGCTACCAAATATTCGTATTCTCTTCCCATGGCCGCATATTCGGATGTTTGGCCAAGTAGCCTCGAAATGGATACAGAGTACGGACACAGTCGCTCTTGACAGATCACTATGACACGATTGTGATAATACCACGCGGAAGCGGAAGCGGGCCAGCATGGCACGTTACGTTCATTGGCATGATGATGGGCTCCCTCAAACCACCCGTCGGCGAGTGCGGCGACGCTCGAGCCTCCAACTGCGTCCTTCCCATTCCATCCCCTTGGGGATTTGTCCTGGCCAGCCTGGTACCTGCGCATGAACACACCTTCAAGGGGCTCAAGGACCTGCTTGCCTCCTCACGTTTGCTCCGTGGGCTCTGAGTGGCCAGGTTGAGATGCGAAACTCTCCTCTGGGCCTACCTGGATGAATATTGGGTGCGTTGCCGATCGATCAACGTCAGAAATGTCTGTTCGAACCCCACCAATATGGCCAACTCAATTATCGGACGATGTCTCTAGGCTGAAGGGCATTAAAGGGAGGGACGCCGTCATTGACAAACGTTAATAACTGCGGCCACCATCCATTGAGATGGGATCCGCCAGGAGCCAAGATGGCATTTTTGAGATTCTTTTGGTGACACCATTTCTCACATGCGGTGAAAGCTGCTGACTCAAATATATCAAATACCTACTGCTTCGCAAAGTCTCCCTTTCATCTGCCGGCATACAGCTCCGGTAGCACGACGCGGCTGCGCCGACCCTAATCTTACTCCAACATCGGGAGGACCTTGAATTCCTCGCGATGACATAAGCCACTTCTATCTGAGGGGGAAAAAACATGTGACCATAGATTGCGCCGCGGCGGAACGCGGTTCAGAATGCATTGTGGTAGGGAAAATATGGTACATCTCAAACGTTTGGCCGCGAGGGCCCTATACCAGTTTCGAGAAACTGTAGCAAAAAGGTTCAGCTCGCCGTCTTACTCTGCTCAGCCGTGTACGTTGTCTCACGCCAGCTTGTGCTAATTGCGGCATTCCATTCTTCCGCCGCGCTTCCGTTCGCTTTAACTCGTATCGTCCACCTGAGCTCTGCAAGCTCTTAAGTCAGTACCGTAATCCGAGACATTACCGGGGCCGGCTTCGGGGTGGCGACAGGACCTCGAAGTGGGACCCGGCCTTCGGGCCTGGGCCGCTGATGGCGTGAGGGTGCCGCATTCCAGAGTTTGGCGCTTTGATCACCCCGGAATGTGAGATCTGCTTCACTACTTTAGCACCAAGCAGTGTCCGGTCGTTCGGTTTTTTGCGATATCGACCGCATCGCCTCGTAGTCAAGCTCGCCGTTGCCTTGCACCTACAACGGGGAGTCGCGTGTAACAGCTGCTAGACTCACAGGAGGCAGGAGACAGATACAGGCACCTCGTCTTACGGAAAACTTGACGCGGGACATGAGAAGGTTGTTTCGAAATGCATTCCTTCTAGGCTCGAAGACCTCAACAGAGTGCTAGTATTCGAGAATGCCATGCATGATTATCATCTAGGTGACTTACAACAGTGGTCACCACCCAGTATCAAAGTCCACATCTGTCGGTGCGTAAATACTGTTCTCAATAGCGTTGGCGGCATGTACTTGTTCTTGCTCTCGCGTCATCATCGTTCGTGCGTATAGCGCCGGGGTAGGGTAGCTGAAAGGGGGCATATTCGCCCCCTGTGTTCTCTTAACCTGGTGTTTGGATCAACTCAAGACGTTTTGGCAAGAAGGCGGCCATTCTTCTGGCGTGAATATACGTTTATTGCATCTTTTTCGATGAAGCTCTGGCGTGTTATCTGCACAAGGGATTCGTAGTGAGATTCGAGTCCAAAGTTGTGTGAGTGACGTATATTGGAGACTTGACCTTCAAGGCGATTAGTGTTTCCCAGTCACGGGGCGAATTTGAGCCTCTCTTAGGGAGCTTCAAACGGGTGTTAAGTTTGTGTTTACGAGGCCATGGACTAGATAGACCTTTCGAGACTATGTGCCTCTATTCAGCGGCACAGAAAGTATGCGTAAGGACGTACCTACCCGCGTAATTCTTGGTCACTCATTCTGCCGTCTGAGGACGTCTTTCCAACCAAGATCTATCACCCATCACAAGCTGCTGTCATATACCGAGTGAGGTGTTTGGGGCTCGCCTAGAAAAGCCATCCTAGAACTCTGGTCAGACAGATCTCATGATGGGTTTGGTGGTAAATATTCCGATACTCGTCTCGGAGGTGGATGGCCTGAAAAGGAGGAAAGCTTCGGAAGCTGGTGGGCACGACGTAGAGACTGCAGTGAAGGTTATAAGGCGAACATGGGGTGATGAGAGATAATTGCACACAAAAACAACAGACGCCGCACATAGTCTCGAAGTACTCGGATTGCCGTAAGCGAGAGCAAGTCGATTAAACCTACCTTACACAAGGTCACATACCAGTGCAAGCCCACTGGTGGATCACTGCCGCTCACAGAACAGGTCCCACGTGAAAAGTCCCCTCGCCAATCTGCAGGTCATCTGACAGCTTCCCACTTTGACCCTTGGACTTAAGTCGGTTCGAGACATCTCGGCGGCAAAGTCGAGGTGCCAAGAGAAGCAGGGGCTGCGGTTCGCTGCTGCTTTTGTTGGGACGCTTTGAGGTTGTCTACATGTATGATTTGAAGTCAGCAGTTTGGTGAGGTATAGTATAGAAGGACATTAAAGGATAAGGAAAGACGGTGTTCGTGTGTCAGCACAGGAAAAGAACTTCATGTTATTGCCCTAGTGTGACAACTTGGAAACATTGTCAGATGTCCATAGGTCTCCAATATCCAACAAGATATCTAGTTCCTACCACCTTCCATCTCACAACGTCAATGCATGTTATGCCTTTCACAACACATGTCACATTCAGACTCTTCTCACAGCTCCATCTTGTGAATGATTTTCTTGATAACTTTCAAGGGTATGTCCACAACTATAGCCTTCTTTCAAGTCAAGTCTCAAGATACTACTGTCCACGAATATTGCCCACCAAGGACAACTGAAAAACTAGAGTACATAAATCAACCGTTTAAAAGTCACGAGAACTTCGGGGTCAAAGTATTCCCCATAGTCCGATGGCTTTGAACTCTCTCTTCGGTTCGGCCCAAGCTCGGGGCCGACTGGGAACCTAGCCGGGGAGGATCGAGCCCGTCATGCACACCCATATTTAGGCGCAAACATGTATGTATAATAACTTTTGGTAATTCCGTCTGAAGAATTGAAAAGCCATCATAAGTGAAGGGATGACGTGCGCGGGAATTTCATAGGATCAAAAGTATCATGAGTCCGCAGGAGGAGGAGGTGTGCATGCGTGCGTATGCCAGTGAAGGAGCCGCAGCTGAAACTCCCATTGGAAGACAGTCAGCTAGAAGCAATGATAAGAGCTCAGGTTCCATGTGTGAATCATTCATCTATAAGAAAAAGAGAGAAGAGAGAATCTGAGTCGTTGCGTTGTGGTCTTATGGTGTAATCGTAGCAACTTACAAAACCGAACGGGATAAGATCGTGAAGAGCATCAACCACCAGTACAAGTCATTTGGACTTAGTCCCTTGATTTTATACGAGTGAATGAGACCACATGAGTAACACATTTCATTCTTTCATGTCGTCTCCGAGTACCTGGACGTACGATTCCGCCACTCCGGATACATCGAATGCAAGACAGGCCATGCGCCGGAGCAATCAAACCACGCCAACGTGAGCGCTTTGTCCGCGAAACCAGCAACTCAGCCACCTCCGCATCTGCCATCTTCAAAACATGCAGCAGCTGCAAGATTTGTTTCCTCAAACTCTGCTAAGAGAGGGAACGAACAGGCAAGAATAAAAAGCCCTCTCTGCTTGGCGTTTGGGACGAGGTCCATGAGTTCCTACCAGTCCCATGAATCCCATTGCGGAGTAGGGCAACATGAGCCTGCCGAAAGCGACGGGATAGCGCAAGTAGTCAGCCCACTCACAGACTACCTTACGTTCACCCAAAGCTCACGATCGCCAAGGACGCAGACCAAGCCCGGGGGAAACGGCAACGCGTCTGGGGCTGAAGCTCTTGCGACCGGGCCAAGGCTCATGTTTCCACCGTGGTCGAAAGTTCGCCTCTACCGTTGGAGCCTCCACCATGTGTGTGGCTTGTACGCTCAACTTTCCGTGTCTGCTTCGTCACCTCTTCAGAGTATGTCTTGTACGTGTACGTAGTGTACAGTGTGTTCTCCCTGACGTAGACTATGTGAGCTTCAACCTTTCAACCTGCACGATTCGGTCTTGTCCGTTTCCATAAACGCTACTTAGGGCTGAGAAAGCTTGTGAGGGCGTTTGCGCCGGGGTCTTGTCGTCCGTGAATCTGGACCAGGTCGATGGGTGGCAGTGGTTGTGATTTGCTTGTCTAGTTCTGCAACTCTATATAGCTGACCCTTTTGGCATTCAGGGAAGGGCCAAGGACACTAAATTCCTTGTCTTGTTTTGAATTACTCTTACTATACCCATATCAGTATTTTGTTCTTGTGAGGAAAGAAACATGTGCGGAATTACGGCGGCTATCACACTCCAGCGGAGCGATTCCGCCCGCAGGAACGGTGACATCAATGGAACGAACGGAGTCAAGAGCAAAGCAGATAAAATTTCGGAGCACGGCACCCTGCGTCAACAGTTTCAACAGAGTCTTGAGGCCATCGCTCACCGCGGCCCGGATGCCTCTGGTGTCTGGATCAGTGATGATGCTACAGTCGGTATAAAATTCCCCTTGGTAGGCATATTTCGGAAACAGTCCAACTGATCATGTGGTATCAGGTCTTGGCCACTGCCGCTTAGCAATCAACGACCTCTCTCCGGACGGAGAGCAGCCATTACACAGTGACGATGGCAAGATCCACGCCGTGGTGAACGGAGAAATCTACGACCACGATGCCATCAGAGAGAGATGTATCAAAGAGCACAACTACCGCTTCAAGGGCCACTGCGATAGCGAGGTCCTGGTCGCCCTGTACAAGATCTACGGCGCCCCCGGCTTCTTCAAGCACCTCCGCGGCGAGTTCTCCTTTGTCATCTACGACGAGAACAAGGACCGGGTCATCGTGGCTAGGGACCGTTTCGGTATCAAGCCGATGTTTTGGACTGTACAGGACCAGGGCAACGGTACCAGTAAGCGGATGCTCTTGGCCTCGGAGATGAAGGGATTCCGAGCCTTTGGCTGGGAGCCGGAGTGGAATGTCTACGGGTTGCTCAGTGGATCTTCGATGCAAGCCGACTGCACCGTGTTCAAGGACGTTCGCAAGCTGGAGCCCGGAAACTGGATGGAGATTAGAGATGGCGAGATCAAGCATCGCCAGTACTGGGATCCCGAGTTTAAGGACAAGGTATGTGAAGCCGCGGTCATGATAGCTTCTGCTGGGAGGTGCAGTTTTGCTAACTTATGGCAGCGTGAGGTGGAGACACGAAGCGCGGAGGAGATGATTGAGGGTGTAAGGGAGCGTCTGATAGAGGCGGTGAAGCTTCGACTGCGCGCCGATGTTCCCGTGGGAATCTACCTGTCTGGAGGTACGGAGTCGTCAGATCAAAAAGATCGAAGCACAAGACTGACCTTGCCACAGGTATCGATTCATCAGTCATTGCAGGAATTGTGACGAAGCTGGTAAAGGATCAGGGCATTGAGCTGGGCAATCAAGACGCAACGAAGCGCATTAAGTGTTTCACCATCCAGTTCCCAGAGTCATCGGGGTTCAACGAAGCTGGTGAGTGCATAGCCCCCTATGGATCACGATAGGGATACCATACTGACGCCCGACAAAAGATATTGCTGAGCGCTCAGCCGATTTCCTCGGCGTGCAGATCCTCAAGAAGGATATGAACGAGACAGAGCTCGCCGACAACTTTGCCGACGCAGTCTTCCATACTGAGCACCACAACTTTGACCTGAACAGTGTAGGAAAGTTCTGCTTGTCATCACTACCTCAACAGCACGGCGTGCCCGTCGTTCTTACCGGCGAGGGCGCCGACGAGCACTTTGCAGGCTACCCTTTCGTGCTGCCAGCCTTTCTCATGGAACCCGACCTCGCGTGGCCCCAGTCCGACATGACGGACGGCGTCCGCATCCCCATGTATCAGGAGATGACGGACGACCTCAAGGCCATGTTTGACCGCATCGGCATGTTCGAGGATGAATCCTCCTCGGGCGGCGCCGCCCCGACGAGCAACTCGATGCGTCTCGAGCCCGAATGGAACGCCTTCTCGCCGTGGGTGCGGGAGACGTACAAGATGCCCGGCTCGGCCGAGTCGACGCTCGCGCCAGAAGTCCTCGAGAAGATGATTGAGAAGTGGCACTCGCTGCACACGAGCCTCTACGTCTACACCAAGGGCCCGCTCGCCAACATGATCCTCACGTGCCTGGGTGACCGCACGGAAATGGCGCACAGCATCGAGGCTCGCCCTCCCTTCTTGGACCACCACCTCGTCGAGTACGTTAACAACCTGCCGCCGAGCGTCAAGGTCGCATATCAAGAAGCTGCCGGGGCAGCCGCCGGGACTGGAACGATCGGCACCGGAGCTAGTCTGTGGTGGAAGGACCTCAGCCCGGCACGTCAGAAACTGAGCGAGAAGTGGATTCTCAAGGAGGCCGGGAAGCCGTTTATTACACAGGAGCTCTACGAGCGGAGGAAGCACCCGTACTCGGCGCCGGTCAAGTGGCCGCGCGGCGGACCCGTGTATAAGATGATTGCGGGGCTGATTACGCAGGAGAATATTGAGAATCTAGGCTTCATGGAGTGGGATAACGCAAAGAGGTGGCTTGAGGAGGGCTTTGGCGAGGATGCGAGCCCCAGAGCATTCCGAAAGCTGATCTGTACCGCCTCCTGGGTTGTTCTTAGTCAACGGTTTGGGGTGAAGAAGGCGGCCGTGGAACAGTGGTCAGCGAGTGCGTGATTGGATGCTCACTTAGGAGTTTGGGACTTTTAGAATTCTACGGTACGAGATGCTCTCAGGGACCTTATTCCGTACCGGGTACACTAGGAATGAGTTTGGATTAGGAATGCACAACAGGTATTGAAGAAAACGATCGGCTTTGGACAAACAATCCGGGACAATGTATTGATGCATTGGAAAATCTTGGCTGCATGTGTACACTTTAGACTTGCTTCGTTGGGGTCCCTGTCTGGCTTCTGATATGGGGACATCCGGACCGTTGGGCGGCCCCGCATCGGAGCCGAACCCGACAAGTAACCATGTCCCTTAGGTGGTGCCGTGAAATATTGCCCCCAACAGCAATATTGGCCTCCTTCAACGCCTTGCTACACCCAATCCATAGGTCACAAGCATTTTCAGCAATTGACGAGTGCTACGCGTATAACCGAGCTGGGTCATCGTGTCGTCGGTGTCAGATTTGCAACAGTCTGGTACCATTGGCCAGACTGGTCTGAAGCAAAGCTGACAAGGAACCGAGGCACCCATCCCTTCCCCCCCAGGTGCCACAATAGGGGTTCTGTCGATCGGCTCCCCGGCCAATTGGGTACGCAAGCTGAAGCTCCGTTGGGTCCAAAAGTGCCCCGAAGCCCCGGCTTTGCGGGCAGTGTCAGCTAGCCTTTTTTTTACACGCGGCGGGGGGTAAAGAGGTACCTGTGCATCCACCGCAGGGAACGCGTGCCGCCGCCTGTCTGAAGCTTAGCCCTTCCAGGTTCCAATCCCTCCAAAAGGCGGTTTTGCGTCACAAAAATAACCCCCAAGCTAAAGGTCCCCGGTCTTGTCTGGACACATGGGACGGAAGTTGCGACCACGAGACTTCATCTCCAATTTCCCACAACCTCCAACCTTTCCCGTTTGCTGGAATCAACACACCGAAGTGTCGAAACTCACAACCCGGCACAGCTCTTGAGAGCTTTTCCTTCTCTACACACACATTGACGAGATGTTTTAGAAACTCTCAAACCTGAAACTCTCTCTCCCTTTCCGCCTCTTCGGCTTCTTCTACACGTACACGTGCGCAAAGTTCCTCGAGGAGCTTTGCATCCACGAGCCAGCCCGCCATGGCTGCCATCCTCAAGTTCTTGAGGAGCATCTACGACCTCGATAACCTCGACACCCGCTTCACGAGCTCCTCTTCCGTTCCCTACAAGACCATCGTCGAGGCCCGAACCGATCCCGCGCAGAGCAAGGAGCCGCCCAACAAGGTCCAAAGCCGCTCCCAACCGTCGAAATGGGGGACACCGGAATACCTCCTCTACATCTTTCTGCTTTCATTCATCGTGCCATACATGTTTTGGATCGCGTATGATGTATCAAGGCGTACGTCTGGCCCTCTTCCTCTGAAGATGAACCTTCCGCTGATGCTCAATGCTTCCGTCCTCTAGCTTCCGACCCTCGATACCACAACTACGAACGCTTCCTCCGTGATGGCTGGATACCGGGTCGCAAGATCGTAAGCTCCACACAATGCGCAAACCTACCCAATCTGTAAACTCCAGCTCACCCCCGACTTCTCTTTCTAGGACGTATCCGATTCACAATACCACACGTTCCGCGAGAACCTCCCGTTCATGGCCCTCCTCCTGGCCTTCCACCCCCTCCTCCGCAAGCTCTGGAACACAGTCTTTCCGATCCCCTCGGACCTGCACAAAAAGTCTGTCTCCGAACAGGGCGACGCCCGCCTCGAGCAGCGCGCCTCCTTCGACTACCGCTTCGCCCTCGTCTTCCTCGTCGCCCTGCACGGCTTCTCCGCCCTCAAGGTGCTCGCGATCCTCCACATCAACTACCAGCTGGCGACCCGGCTCCCGCGCCGCTACGTCCCTGCCGCGACGTGGACGTTCAACATCTGCATGCTTTTTGCGAACGAGCTCTGCGAGGGGTACCGCTTCGCCGCCATTGCGCGACACATCACTCCGCCGCCCGCGACGAAGAACTTGCTCGATGAAGACCCCTTTCTCGTGAGGTGGGGTACATGGATGGACCGTCATGGCGGCCTCATGAGCCGCTGGGAGATTCTCTTCAACATCACCGTCCTACGGCTCATCAGCTTCAACTTGGACTACTACTTCAGCCTCGATCAACGCAACGGAAGTCCCCTAGAGGTAAGATCAAAGCTCTGTCATACCAACCCCCTCGACATCGCTGACGTCCCCAAGAAGAAGCAACTCGACCCCTCCAACCTCTCCGAACGAGACCGCCTCGCCATCTCCGCCGCGCCCAAGGACTACTCCTTCCGCAACTACGTCGCCTACGCAATCTACGCGCCCCTCTACCTCGTCGGCCCCATCATGTGCTACAACGACTTCATCTCCCAGCTCCGCCACCGCCCGGCCTCGATCGAGACCCCGCGCACGATCCGCTACGCCGTCCGCTTTCTCCTCGGCCTCCTCGCCATGGAAGTTGTCCTGCACTACGACTACGTCTGCGCAATCTCCCACGCTGGGCCCGACTGGTCCACCTACACGCCCGCCCAGCTCTCCCTTCTCTCCTTCTTCAACCTCCACATCATCTGGCTCAAGCTCCTCCTGCCCTGGCGCCTCTTCCGCCTCTGGGCCCTCATCGACGGCGTCGACGCCCCCGAGAACATGCTCCGCTGCGTCTCCAACAACTGGTCCCCGAAATCCTTTTGGAAGGCCTGGCACCGCTCCTACAACCGCTGGCTCATCCGGTACATCTACATCCCCCTCGGCGGCGCAAATTTCCGCTCCTGGGCCACCACCGTCCGCTCCATCGCCACGTACCTGCTGGTCTTTACGTTCGTCGCCCTCTGGCACGATATCCGTCTGCGCCTGCTCATCTGGGGCTGGCTCATTGTGCTCTTCCTGCTCCCCGAGGTCCTCGCGCAGCTCCTGTTCCCCGCGCGCAAGTGGGAGGGCAGACCGGATACGTACCGGCGGATCTGCGCCGTGGGAGCTGTTGCGAATGTGCTCATGATGATGATCGCCAACCTTGTCGGTTTCGCTGTCGGACTCGACGGCTTGCAGAGCATTCTCTCTGGGATTCTGCACGACTGGTCAGGTAAGTTCATCTTCCCTTCTTACCCCTGAAAGTGCATGGACTAATCCTGATCTCTCTAGGTGCGCTGTTCTTTATGAGTGCTTTTGCCTCTTTGTACATGGGTGTCCAGGTCATGTTTGAAATCAGAGAGGCCGAGATGCGAAGAGGCATTTCACTAAAGTGTTGACGGTTGTTCACCGTCATTTGTCACCCAAAACGTTTGTAGCAAAATTACCTGTTTGAATAGCGATTCTTAGATGTTTGGTATTATGATACTAGACAGTTATTATGCTGTACTATTACTTTGATGCAACTCGCTCCCTCTTCCCCTTTTGCGCCTCTCAACGTTGTGATGCTACTCATGGCAAGGAGGGGACAAAAATAAGTTGAGGTCCCTCCGGGGTATAATAACAATGCAGTGCCTGCTCCCAAATCCGTGTCCAGACTCCTTCTCCTTGTCTCTCCCTCTTTATACATATACATATACATATAAGTCAACACGTTTGCGTGTTCTGTCGATTGAAATGGGCGTGCGCTTAGGCTCCTTTTACCCTCCTCCTTTTCGCTCCCTCTTTCTGACTTTATATCCGGTCTCAGTGCTTGGAGGTGATGGTGCCCAGCTCCGTGTCGTAGTTGCGGAAGCGCTGCTGGGCAAACTTGCCGTCCATGCCCAGCTTCTTCTCCGTGATCCACTCCCTCAACCAGATGAGGCCCTTTGCAATGAGATAAAAGACGATACCGGCCACCGCGATGCCGATAATGTACGCCGCCACCTTGCCGCTGCCGTTCTTGTCGATGTTGAGGAAGTCGTAGGTGTAGAAGCCCTGTGTGTAGTAGGTGACGTAGGCGAGCGCGAGGTACAGGGCGAGGACGATGATGAGCCAGAGCATGTGCACCCACTCGAGCTGGGCGGCGCTGGTGCGCGGGATGACGATCTCAAAGAGGGCAAAAGCCGAGTTGAGGCCGTGCTGGGAGATGTTGCTAAAGGCCTCGAATTGCTCGGTGTACCAGGGGGCCGAGTAGATGATGGCCCAGTAGACGATGGTCACGATGAAGGGGTAGGTGACGATGGTGCTATAGTAGAAGGCGTGCAGGGCCTGGAGGGGTCGCGGGAAGCGGTCGAGCAGCGGGGTCCCAGAGTGCGCGTACGTGAAGGTGTGGATGGCCGAGATGAGGAAGTAAAACGCGAGTCCCCAGTAGGTCAGAACAGTCTACGGAGGGGGGTCCCTCAAGTCAGTCTTGCGCCCTGTTCACCATGTTGGCACACAATGATATTCGAGGTTTACTTACGAAGTAGGAAAAGCTCTGGCCGACGACCTTGCACCCGCCATCTTCGGCGTGAGTACAGGTCCAACCGATGACGAAGAAGCGGACGACAAAGATGTACAGACTCTGCGAGAAAAAGACGTGTTAGTTCCCACAAGCAATTCACTGTTTGGTGGTGGTTAAAGGGGCATTTGCGCGCTGAGAGGATGGTGACGACATTGCTAGACACCACAATGCACGAAGGGTCCTCAAGCGTGACAGAGAAGAGTAGGGGAAGCCAAGACTCACAATTAGCGCTCGACACGCGGCCAACAGATAGGGAGAAAGCAGCCATGAGGTCTCGAAGCGGTGAGAAGGATCCCAAAGATCCCTCCCGAAGCGGAATGCAGCGAACATCGTGATCTGCCGGGGGGTGGTTGATGCCGGCTAGGATTGAGGGGGGGAAAGGGGGAGTGGTGAAGCCCTTTACCCTCTCAATTTTCCTTCACGATGATGAAGTTTTGGAGTTGAGCTAGAAGGACGGGGCAATTGCTCGAGGACCCAAGAGGATTTTGAACGTGGGCCTTGGCTTTCGGCGCGGGTCATTGGTTCGCAGGGATGGTCTCCGCTCGGCGCTGGCTGAGAAATCGCAATTACTTTCTGCTGCTGGGGGAACCTGGACCTTGGTGGCAGGGCGCGCCGAGTCTCACGGGATGTCGCGT